CAGGGCCATGTCCCAGTACTCTTTGCGTTTCCTCTGTTTGTTCAGGTTCTGCAGCATAAAGCTGTTGTAGTTTTTCTCAGTGAATTCCAATTTCATGGTGCTTCTTGCTGGCTGAGGCAGAAGATCAGCAGCAGGTACTGGAGAACAGACTTTCTTAGGCCTTTGGGATTCAAATTGATGGTGGTTTGCAGAGCAGTTGATCATGTAGGAGTGGGTGTGGGAGAGAGATGATGTCATAGAGTGGATGAGGTCATCACAATGCAGACCCCCCCTGAGGCCCTTCTCAGAGGCACAGGGCCTTTCTCCCCTCCTATGGCTCCAAACTGTCAAGACCAAATACCCTACCAGGACCTAGTAGTCAGGGCCCAGAGCTCAGGAGGAAACCCAGAGATGGGTTGAAACTCCTACCTGGGACCTTCAAACGTCAGCTTAAGGCTGCTTCTGGAATGTCAGAGCCACTTTGGATGGGTGTGAGATAGGGACGGATAAGGGAGGTTGGGGGAAGAAAAAGGATTATTAGATCATCTAAAAGAATCTTCCCATTGTACAGGAGGGAAACAGGCTCAGAGAAGAGAGGGGACTTGCCCAAGATTGCCTAGCCAGTTGGAAGCGGAGCAGGACTTGAAACCCAAGCCTCTGTGACTTAGAACTCGTTCCACTCTTCCAGAAAGCTCCTAACTACTACCCATCTCTGGTTCTTAGGCCTTTTTCTGCCAAGGCTCCTGGGCATCAGAGAAGAAAAGTTCTGTCCTTTGGCTTCTGACCTTTGTGGCCACAGATGCCATTCTTTAAAATAGAGGAAGAGATGGAGGCCGCTCACTGGATGCAGGAGTTAGCCAGGCACTGGGGGAGAGGGCCTCGGAAGGTCTGACTAGTTCAGTTCCACAGCAAACTAGGGCATTCGCCCCACATTTCCAAGTCTCTAGCTGTAAAATGTTTGGGTCTGTAATGGCACTCTCCACCAAGTTGCCCATTCATGTGAGATGGGAGTAATCATACTTGCTCCAAAGAGTATTAAGAATTTAAATGAGAAGCTCATTGAAATGAGAGTGTTAAGCACGGTGTTTGGCTTATAGCAGACGTTCAATAAATGCTAGCTGTCGTTATTTAATTAATATTACATCAGCCCGGCCAGGCGTGGCTCAGCAGTTAGGCATCGACCCAGGATCCAGGAGATCAGGGTTCGATTCCCGGTCAGGGCACATGCCTGGGTTGCAGGTTAGCTGATCAATGACTCTCTCATCATTGGTGTTTCTATCTCTCTCTCTCCCTCTCCCTTCCTCTCTCTGAAATCAATAAAGATATATTTTAAAAAAAGAAAAGAATATTACATCAGTTCTCCAAGCGCTGGCGTTCTGGCTCCTTCAAGAAGAGGCGTCTGGGTCTGGAACGCGCCGGTGCCATCGGGCAAGCGCCCTGGGCCGCCTGCGGCCACACGGGGGCGCTGGAGGATCACCTCCCGCTCGGGCGGGAACCAGCGGGCGGCTGAGCCCGCTCTGTCACCGGGGCGCGCCGCCTCGGCTGTACCCCTCTGCGGGGTGCGAGGAGCCGTGAGGGCTCCCCTCTTCCGCTGGCTGCCACGCGCCGGCGTCCCCCAGGGCAGAGGCCGCAGGGCAGGTCCGCCCGCTGCGACCCTGCAGTTCAAATGGCAGGGCCTCTGACGATCACCGCGAGCACGCCTGTGCCCACTGTACAGATGGGGCCCTGAGCCCG